GGGAGGAGAGAGTGGGGCGGGGGGGGGGGGAGGTAGTTAGTACACGTGTATCAAATTGGTGCACATATCTACAAAGTTAAATGTGTAGTATTATCACCCGCACGTGCTTGGACGCATATGCCCTCAACCGACACGTAAGCACGAACAGCTGATTGTGAGCGTGCATATTTAAATGTATCTATAAATTATAGACTCGCAGATGAGTATTATACACACTTTTAGTCACTCCTAACATACCCACTGATCTGCTCGAACAGCAACGTAAGATCCTTCGGCTGCTTAGACGCGAGTGACTCGACATCTCCTTGGAAAACAAGAAAGTTGCGTGCCTTGGAGATGATATTGATATCCTTCAGACGTTGCATGTAGACTTCCTGAGTAACCACTTTATTGTTGTAGCGATACTCAGAAGTTCCGTTCTGCTGTACACTACGATAAAACAGAGTGTCCTTGTCGGCTCCTTCTTCTCGGTAAACAGCTCGCACATATGCCTGATATTGAGGATGGGTACGCAGGCAATAGCTTGAGCAATATATATATATATATATATGTATGTATGTATAATATATATAAATATATATATATATATATATGTGTGCATATACACATATATACATACATACATACATACATACATATACATATACATACAGACATACAAATACATATATATATATATCCAGATTTAAGTACGCAAATCACGAGTGGGATGCGTGAGAGAACATGAAAAACGATGTGCTTATACATATCCAAACTCCATATGTTTATTCTTAACGCTAACTGGAATGGCGTATTGAAACATGTATAAAGACATAGGCAGGAGTATGTACCTTGTACAATAAATACGCCAACCATGAGCAAGTGTACAACGCCACAGTAGAACACTTGCCTTCAGGCGGGCAATCAGAAGCACCGCTGAGCACAACTATGTCACACTCTGCAAGCGAAAGGTATGCTATTTCGCTGTTTATTGTCCCTTCGAGTATGCTTATCAACCACCGTCAATCACCCGGTGTACAGTCAAACCGAGGAAGACGTGTATATCTAATGGCTTCATGCCTGAAGTGACTGAAATAACTGAATAGGCCTTTGGAAACCTCTCACCTCTTACATTCGGGATCCTGTACTGCTCGAAACAGATATCTGATCTAAGAAGCGCAGTCATTTTGACGATCGGGCAAACCAGTGTTGTACTGGTTAAATGACAAATTGAAATCTACTGAAATACTGACAAATACAGATATTATCCTTGAATGACCTACCTTGTCCGCACCCGCGGCAGTACCAGCGCCATTGACCAAATTCTTCAAGTGACTCGCGCGCAGATGCTGTGATCGGACGCCCAGTACAAAACTGATGGCATCCATCAAATTGGACTTACCCGCGCCATTTGGTCCAATTACAGCCGTGAAGTTAAGAAATGGGCCCAGAGTCTGTTTACCTGAAGTGCAACGACGATGTTGACACGTTAGCGATGTCTGACTGAGTTTATGGCTATCCAAGTGTAGTGAGGTGGTATGGTATGACCCTCATGTGTACTCTGTGGTCTGAAGTTGGTGTGGTTCAGTTTGACGTGGTGTTGTCCTGCGTGTGTTTATGTCACTACAGCCACTATCAAGGATTTAAATTACATGTGCATATTACCGACTGCTTTGGCCTGGTGTCGCGTGGTTTACATGGCTCCTATACAGTCCCCTGCTAGTTGATTATATGTGGCGTGAACGTGTGATTAGTTTGAATGAGTGGTTCTAGCTGACTTTGTTGCTCCATATTTTTCATGTTGGTTTAATGTGTTCGTGTGCAGCTCAGTTTGTGACATGAATCGACTTCGTACAGCATACTTCAATATGCTTGGTGTTATTTCAGTGATTTCAAAGGCTTATCGCTTGAGTGCATCATAGTACGCTGTATCGGATCTGACCCACTTTCGTGGAAAGAGTTCGATGTATATATATCCAATGAGATCTGATCTTAGCTGTACAACAAACAACAATTTCTCAATATTGCAAAGAACAGCCGCGGATGAGATGAACTAAAATGAGCAGACGCGTGCAGTCAGCTATACACGCGTGTGTACAGTAGGAGTAAGCTCGAGGCTAGGGTATGAGATCATTTTTGGAGCTAATTCGGTCAAGGGTAGACACGTGTTAATGGTATGTCAAACGTGCACAAGCTCGCAATATGAACGCGGTGTGATAGAACAAACGTATTTTTGCATTGTGTATGGACGCAGGAGTATAAAAATTAACAGTGCACCTGCAGCGTGCTACTGATAGACGATGTGTGACTGATAGACGATGTGTGACTGATAGACGATGTGTGACTATTTCAGCAAAGATTTTGGCTTATGTTGACAACCAAAGCATAAAAATGAAAGAATTTATGTAGCTGCTATCTGCCATTTAGATCTCAATATAGGCCTTTGCGGAAAAATATCAATTTTATGACATGCTACTAAGAATAGCCACATATTCTATATAGAACAGGCTGTCCGCAGTTGAAAGGATGGGGTGTACGTATACTTTGAGGTGGATATAAATATTGACATGACTATACTGTAGCACACATATCACACATGTAAGATGTTTTATAACTTTAAATACGGACTGGACTGTACCACTAAAAGGAACATTCCATGTTGTCGAACTTTTGTCTAAAACGCAAGACCATTCCATCCGCTACACCACAAATTTACTACCTGCGAGTAAGAAGGAAATCTACATTGAAGCTTAAACAATCGGAATCATGAGTTATGAGTTATTTAAAATACCTATATTTTTTTGATCACTTCAAAAAATTAGTTGCACGGGGATACTTGTTGCATGATTTCCGTCTAATGTGTATAAACATCACATACTCGTCAATATACCGCACAATCCCACACGAGCAACTCACCTCTGTAAGACTTGAAATTCTCGACCTCCAAGCGGATCAACATGGTGAAGGTCGCCTACAGCTAAAGATAACCTACTTCGTCAACGTGCTCGTCTGTACGTACATGTACACAGCACCAACAGAGGGGACTTCTACTGTATTTCTAAGACGTATTTCTTTATTATACTAATATTAATATACGTGTTGGACACGATAGTAATAAAAACTGGCCGCAGCCGCACTATTATAAAAAAAAAGTACAAATTCTGAAAAATGAATGATTTCCGTTGGTTTCAAATTTTGACCGGTTTTGTCATTTTGGCGCCAAACTGGACACTGGTCAAAATGGGCCCCATTCTTTTGCAAATAGGATCTGGTTAAAAGTCTCACTCTAGAGAGAGAGAGAGTGAGACTCTGCGCGAGAGACAGACAAGCTTCCCATCTTGTGATGAACCACTCTTTCCAAAAATACATGTGCAAGCCTGCAAGTTATGTACACATATTAAATGGATAGATTATACTGATAAGCACGCAGGCAAGTAGAAGTACTGCTATATTTACTGTAAGAACAGAAGGGATGGGTAGTGATTTTAGGCTAAAATCAAATTAAATAGTGGAAACAGCTGTAGACAATATGAGTGATAAATACAGAGACGGGGCAACCAGCAATGGGAAGCCGAGACACTCACACAAATCGACAACTTCTAAGGAACGAAAGGACAAAGACAAAGATAAAGTCAAAGATAGAAATAGAAACAGTAGTAAACAATCGGCAATCAAATATTCACAAGAAGAGTCCACTGTGATTCTGGATGAAATAAAGTCACAGCAGTCGCGGAAGGGTGATAACTATTGCGCGGATTGCCAAGCACGAGGTAATACATTGCTCAATCTCCTGTGGCTCACGTCGTTGAAAATAGGACTTGGTATCTAGACACATTATTGCTGCCATGGTTTTCATAGTGCACGCTTTGCATATAGAAAAGTGTATGTAGGCTATTTTATATGCCATCTGATGGCATTTTTTTGTTGTTGTCAAGTTGTATGCCATGGGCTACCTCGCCTCGTTGTTGTTTCTATTCTATATTAACCAGGAAGATATACCTATGCATATAGATTCATACTCGTAGACAGTATTAAGGTAAAGCACCAATATGAGCTGTCGACTATATTATCTACGCCGAAACTATGTTGTTTGCTTTTCAATATTATGCAATCCCTTTTGGTCGTTGAACACATTGTCGGTATTGCTGGTATTTTCTCCAGCCACGAATGCACTTGTCAACGCATATACGTATATAATTTCACTTGCATAAGACAGGTCTTCTTGGCCAGACATTCTTATGAACCTGATCAGTTTGACATTGTAGTGTTTTTAGTTTAGTTGTACTTGGTATCCGGGAAAAGAGTATATTTAATTTCCCAGGGTCGTGGAGTGTCAAATATACATGTATATAGCCCTGAGTCTGAACTTGATTTCACATGGTCAATGTGCCCAAACCTGTACGATAACAACCACTACGGACATAAGCTAAGCGTGACTAAAAACTTAGAGATACACACTAATATATATCGGTATATATATAGGGCTTTTGCCATTTTTCTAGGTGTGTGTTTTAGCTTGCTTGCTTTATGTGGTAGTTTTCTGTAGCCAGCAATAAGGGACGTTGTTCTACGAGCACTTATGCTGAGTATCGGTGGCAAACCTGCGATAAATCTATAATATTCTGTAATATGCAAGAATTCGTACACAAAAGTTATGCAAGATAGGGGCCCTTTCAAATGAGTACTTACATTTGTTTCGAAGATGTACAGTTAGACTCTATCACTTCGTTAACATTCTACCGACTTTGGTTTAATTCTATCGTGATTCTCTGCAAATGCTCACGAGACCGCAAACGGGTACACATCACTTGTCCTCAGCAATTTCGCATCTCTTGGCTATAGCATCGGAATTCGACTGTGTTGTGTTAATCGAAAGGTGGTCTGAACGATAATTTGCTTTATCTATGATACTTCAAAAGGCTACGGCTATATCGGCCTGTCCGTACGCCCATGTATGTGTCAGTTCATATGAGCGAGCTTCTAGAATATAGGCGGCTACACCCTGCTGATTTGCATCTGCTCGTAGCCGTACTCCCGCTGCGTACTCTGCTGCATGGGCGCCAGCCTGTCGGATATCGGACAGGTGCCTTCGAATTCCGTAGAGATGTGGCACTATTGCACGTAAATTAATAGCAGGTCTACTTTTTCATGCATCACAGATCCAAGGTGGGCAGTGTCCAATATTGGAATATTCGTGTGTATTCGATGCTCGGGTGTGCACCGCAGCATCGGCACGCACATCTCCAAAGTGCGATCAATCAACATGGATCGCTGGACAGAAGAACAGGTGTGATACTATTCACAGTCAAATTAACTGCGATTGTGTCTAGCAGAAGTCTATAACGCGATCAAAGCAAGAGTGTTTTCTGAGTATACCCACCTCATCATTGGTTACACTTTGTGTGGACGTCACCCATCGCAGCATTCCCTTCCGGTTATTCGTGTCAGCGCGAGTTTTCAAGACAAATCAAACTGTCAATACGCCTTCCATCTGTAGCTCAACTGTATGCAATATAGCGGTGGAAATGACGCGGTGAACGCTCGGTACGAAGCAACACTTGACCCGGGATTTACGCGGCCACAAACTGACTAGTATGTGAATACAAACTGTTTAATCAATGTGATGTTGCTCAGAAATCACAAGTAACTTCTTTTACCCCACGTGAGTCCTATAAGGAACGCGCATGGATTCTCATAGGTGGTTGGATCAGATTATCGCTAAGCAGCAGTCATTTTCTCATATATTGTATCCGAATACAGTGACGCTGAGATATTTATTAGGGAAAAGTACGTGCAGAGAAAGTTTTTCGTTTCGCCCAAGATAGACACTGTCGAAAAGGTATTATCGTTTACACATTATTATGCGTTTTATTGTATTTTCTAGTCTGCGTTTCAGTCCACTTTGATTCTACATCGTCTCACTCTTGATACTAACGACGTGCGCGATGTGCTTATAAATGGAGCAGGATCCTCCTGTCAATTTGAAAGCCTCGCCTGACAGAACTATCAAGTCTAACACGAAGACAATTTACAGCAAAGCCCAGCTTCAAATGCGAGCTCAACAAGTGTCGCCAATCCCAACAGGTAATACGAAGAGCTTGTATTTATTGAGGACTGAAGAATAGGTGCGGTCCACTTACCTGCATCGCATTCGTACGCTGATTCGTTACTTTTCTCCATCGATTCGCTAATTTCGTTACTTTTTTTTCTTGTAGGGCAACCGCAAGACGCAACGCACAAAACCTTCGATGCATCACTCTGGAGTTGACGATGCTCATAATCCATTAGTACAAACATATTAAAAGGAACACTCCGCTGCGCGCGTGTTTGATAGAGATGCACATGTATCCCGCTAAGCCTAAGTATGTCATGTTTTGAAAAGTGCAATGTAAAATAAAATAATTTCTCCCCTTCCCGACCCTCTAGACCCGAATAACATGGACACACTCTTTCATGACCAATTTTAAGTCCTATTATGAGCTGTAGAAAATGCGCATGTGCGGCTATAGCGAACATTCTGAGCACTATCGACGAGTTGTTACAATAAGCCCCATTTTGTGGGAGAAATGACTTCCCATTACAACACATATTCACATCCAGGTTTTTAAATAGTGACCGAATAAAATAGGTCAACAAATATACTGCAGCTAGGACCCAGTGGTCCTTGCAATTCACTACGTTTTAATGAGGATGTGTGAGTATCTAAAAATTAGCATTTGTGACCCTGGCTTGGTATGCAAGCCGGAAATGATGCGCTACGACTGCATACGTGACATACTAAACGTCGCCACGCCCAGGACGACGACGAGTATCATCATTACCTTACGCAGATCGAAGATCATAGTATGCAGTACAAAAACACCGATGAAGTGAGTTGGTGCGGAAGCTTCGGCGTTGCAAAGATTTTTCACTTATGCGACGAATCTCTTTGTGACCAGGTTCGTCACCCACAAATGCAAGGCATATGCTTCTACAACAGCTGTTGATGCATACGACCATTCACCATCCGGGCCTGTGAACAGCACGTACTGCGAAACGGGGGTGCCTTGTATGGCAGATATTATCGGAACTAGAAGCCATGCACCACGGGGATACTGGCGATTTGCACGACAAATGGCGTATCGATACCCTTAAAATTTCTTTCTCCATATACCCCACCCACTGGATAGTACGACTTTGCCCGTTGTGGCGCAGACACCCATAGTCCACTTCTGCGATGTGTGACCTGCCGGCCCGCCGGTATTCATATCAACTATGATGTATGTGATCAAAACGGAAATGTGTTCGCAGGTATAATCGTCTCTATTATTGTTTTCATTATTATTTCTATCTTTAAATATATACGGGTGCGCGAGTCGTGTATTATCTCCCGATTCGGAGTATTGCTTTTGAACAGATTGTTCTCAGTTTGCCATCTATGAGATACTCACTGTTTGCCAAGTTTACGCCGATTTCAAAATCTGATGTTGTTCAAACATACACGAAGCGACAACCACTGCATCTATTTATCAGACCTTAGTAGCTCTTGGCGCGCATTGTCACGGCACTTGTGTAATAGTCATGGCCACGAAAATTCTACCTTAATATATATTTTCGTGCCTTGCAGTTGATGACTGGACGTGATCCATTGTTTTTAGTGGATGACATTGTCGAGCGTGACGGGATTAATTTTGCAAAACTGTGTAGCTGCCTTCTGTTGTGACTGTATGTGGAATTGAACGAGCATATCCCGACGAAGCAATTATAGTGTTTCCTTATTTGTTTTGAGAAATTATTTTTCAAGTCTGCAACTGTGTGATAGTGACGGATTTTACTCCAAGTTTCAGCTAAGCCTTAATATAGCTATAGGATATTATATCGCCCGGTGATGTAGGTGTTTCCGTATCACAGTGATCCTTGCCCGATCGTTCGCATTCCTCGCTACCTACCCCCTCCCTCTCCCGATAATGCAGCTAACAGGTCAATACTGGGGCATGTATTCACATTGCGCAGCGATTGGACTACGGAAATGCCCATCCTAGCTGATATATCTCCGGACATTAACACAACCATTGAATGCCTTGACTCGAGAGGTGGACTTCCCCGTCGCTCTCGAGTGTCACTTACAGGGTATTCGTACTCTTCCACCCTTGTGCGTACACTTCCATGATACTTCGCACATTTGGCCGCATAGTCCGCATCGTGCACACTCGGATATCCCTTTGGCAGCCGTGTTCTGCGTTCCTTCACATCGCTCGCCAGTATTGTTTCCGGCACATGCTTCTCTCGTTCCTTAATTGCCTCCACTTTGTCTCTGGAGATCATACGGTCACTGTAATGTGCTAATGGCATCATAGGTGTGACGCTCGGTGTTGCGCTCACGTTAGCCGCGAGTGGGGCTGGTGATTTCAGTTGCACGTATGGTTTGGGTGTGTACCGTACCCATTGCTGTGCCTTGTCTGATGGCCGACGGGAGTGAACAACTATTTCTTCCTTATCATTAGTTGAGGAGGTGTCACCATCTACAGATGTACTACCACTCCTGAGAGTGCCTGTTTTTTTGTGTCGGTTGTATTTCTATTTACCCCCGTGTCTTCTATAGATCGTCCGCTTGCGAGCGCGTGTTGTTTGGCAACACTCGCCTGTACACAGCACGCCCAGACAGAACACTTCTCCATCTCCTCAGGACAGTTTCTGTGGGAACGGCAACACTTCATATCACGCACCTCACAACTCGAGTGCTCTATGTCATGCCTTTCGGAACATGTCATCATATCCGCCTCGATCTTCGCTGTACTAGCAGTCACACAATCCGTTCCAGAGCCAAAGGACGAAAGATTGATTTTAGACAAGTAAGCATATGAAGACTCTGCATACTTCCGTGTTGCTAGTTTGGTGGATCATCCATCGCCCTCTAGCACCGCAATACTAACAACAGACCCATGAAACTAATTGCACCCCCAATGGCCAGTTGAAACTAACGGCTTCTAGGAAGTTTGGCCATTATTTATATATTTTTGTATTAATGGATCAGTTCGGCGTCTGATTCAAAACAATGATCCACCTAGAGATCTTAATCTCTAATACATACGCTTACCTGCCGTTGCGATACTACCGATGACAGCTATAAGGTAATGTATTGTTGGTGTAATTTGCGCCACATGTAGGTATCTTTATAAAAATGAGGTTAAAAATGCGAAAAATTCATCGAAAGAACACGAGGAGATAGTGACTACCTAGTACATCACATATACAACGATCACCTTACAATATACCTGAATATAGATAGTTCACACCCGACGACCGATACTTTTCAATTTGTGGTCCGCCCTTGTATTGCGATACATACAATTACGTCCGCAAAAGTCGTTGTGCACCTATTTTACCCGCTTCACTTATTTTATCGTGTGCACACAACAAAGGCTCTAAAAGAATTATTAATTGAATTGCGTAAGAACTGGTGTTCCGATTATTTAAAATGAGACAACAGGCTATATAGACAAACAGAACTAGCACTACGCTGAAATCGAATGAGTGAACGTGAACTTGCTTGTGAATATCAGCAGTTCATGTAATGAGACAATCTGTTAAGAATGTACACGAACAGACCGAACAGACATGAAGAAATATACTTTCTAAATTGATGTTCTTTATATGATTAAATGTCCACAGTTACCACATCACCTTCAGAGGTACTTTCCGCATCTGAAAATAGCAAGAATTATTCACTATTACAAACAGCTAGAGGATAATCAAGGTATAGATTACAGGAGCTGGTAGTCATTATATATTCTAATAACTATACATATACGTAAAAAACACACACACATACACATACACACACACACA